AGTATAAGACGGTACGTATTCGTACCATTTAACACCTCCCCTGTGGGTAGCTTTTTGGTTGTTGGTTTATTTCGGTCCGGAACATCGTTTGTGTAGACGTAATCCACAGGAAGCCCACCAAGTCCACTAGCAACGTCATTGGGAAGGCAATGTGTCATGTGTTCATTTTCAAGATATTTGATTAAGTTGAGCATTGGCTGACCAAAGCCCTTTACCAAAGCGTCTTTTATGGACTTTGAAACGTTTTTACCACCGTGTTTACTTTTCCAGAGTTCGTCTACTCCGTCCTCTAGTTTCGCCAAGTACGACTTTCTTTGAAAATTTTTAGTAGACCAGTTATTTAGGATTGCACGTGCGTCGTTTTCTGTGGACATTTTTCTGTAGTAATTTTTCAAAGCGTCGACTCCAGCTCTGCAKGCAATCTTGGTACGGATCATTCCCGTTGTTACACCAAGAGCAACGTTTTTCCTAAATAAGAATACTCATATTAAAGTAGTTATAGCCTACAAATAACCTGAGAAGGTACTCAGTGTCAACCTTCTCATAATTATCCTTTCCACACTAGCAATAGGAAAAGCAACGGCACCTATAGACATCTTGATTATCTTCATTGACACGGGCAGCCATTCAAGACGGCATCGATTATGATGACAGAAATGACAAAGACCATGACAGCAAGGTCAATAATGTGAAGTTTGACATAGTTCCCTGGCACGTCGTCATCTCACGTTCTTACGTTGAAAGTCCGGGGGGAGGTACTACCTTTGCAACTTGGGTAGGGGTGTGCCTCACGGACCTCTGAACCCCTGACAGCCTGACCCAGTCCCAAACCTAAAATTTCAATTTTGTCATACCCTACCTCTGACTAAACCTAAAAACTTTTAAATGTAACTGTTTACATCGTTTTTGTGTCGACCGAAAGCGTAGCTTATTCCAGACTAAAGCCGGTCAAAACCGACCTCTATTCAAATTAAAACCGACGACCAAATTGTAACCCTCTCCTAGACAAAAACCATACCCTGTCCCAGACAAAAATGGCAAAAAAGGACACCCTACCCTAGACCAAAAAGGCGAAAACTCATACCCTGTAAGGCGGCACATAGCCGTATAGCAAATATAAGGGAGTTCCCATCCCCTCACTCCGGGTTCGCAAGGCATCTTGGAGACGACCATCTCGGGATTTGAAMAAATACTACGTACCGATACTGGTCAATAGCTTGCTTGTGTTTTAAAATCTTGTCCACAGCGTTTTCAACGTCTTCATACGTCACAAGCAACAAACTACTAAGTGCATTGATATGCCATTGTGCATGACAAATCCGTACCATGCAGAATAGATCAGGACCCATCATCCAGTCACCCGCATAGTAGTTTTCACCGTAAGAAGCCGAGAATRTGGTCTGCAGAGAATGTTTTACCTAGCAAGAAAAAGTGCATGTTGGAATAACGGGATGTTCTTTTCCTAGTTTCTTTCTGCATTGTAATGCACCACCGGCCCCCCATTAGCATTTTTTTCAAATGTTAATTCCCGTGGCAATCACCGGGGATCGTGGGACCGGGTTTCAATTGATTAATGAATAAGGTGCTCAGTAAACCCAATTTCACTGAGAGGGCGAGTTGCAATTATCTGGAATTAAATAACAAGAATGCAAACAGCATTTTACAGCGAGACGATTATGTGGACTAGGCCTAATTTTTTCACTATGGTCTAAGTATACTGTGATAGGAAGTTTGAGGTGCTGACCCGCACGGGATGTGATGGTTTGGRATATCGTGATCATGTGTTCTGCTTTCATTTTCAACTTGAAATGAATGTGTTGTTTTATATCTATGATGACTTGGGATACCTGTGCCACTGCCTTTGCTTCCCTTGGTTTAAGGGCGTCGTTATCGATGTTCATGTCATTGATCTTCTTCAATAACTGAAGAGCTGAGTCTGTTTTTCTTTTAAGTKCCATGGGATCCGCATTAATTGGGAAATAGCTAAAAAAATCCAAATCATTCATTTAATACCTCCTTTSATGGATYAAYACCAATAATACWAGTAATACATGCACTCATTTCGTCTTTGCTTTCWCATTTCCCATTTCGTATTTCTTTATTTGCACATTTTGTGCTATCAATTTATCGGCCAATTGTTTTTTTGTACCGTTTTTATTTGTGTTTATCAGTTTATCTTTTTCATTTTTGCTRAACAATATTGGTCAATACTTGATTCATGGTTCGACACGATAACTCAATTCCAACGACAAAGAAACGACAAAACAGAAATGCAAAGAAAATGCATAACAAAGGATTGATATCAAAGATTTTGAGCCAAAGAAAACATTAAACAAAAAAAAGTTTGCATTTTACAATTATTACATTTTGCAATGACTGGAAAGCTTAAAACTAGTCTTCAATATCACAAATCGCATGACATAATAACCGAAATGCGGTAGACCTGTGCTCAAATTACTCAAACCGCTAATGGCATCAAACAGGGTTGCGTCGAAAGGTATGAAGTAAAAGGTTAAAAGTGCAGAAATAATTGAGTAATGGGAAGATTAAATAACTTATCAAAAGGTACATGTATTTGAGAATATAACTGTATAGTGAGCAACAAACAACCCTTCACTATACAATGAAATTCTCTTGTGAGATRATCTTAGAAATCTCTTTTGCTTTCGAAGTTACAAGAGCACTTCTTGAATTTCAAGTGTGAGGCCAATGTAATGTTAAGCAAACATTGGGACTCAAGTTGAACTATTGAGATAAGCCTCTCGAGCGACTAAGAGTCAACAAGTTATTGAATTTATGAAAATGAATTTGTATAAATGATCGATTATGTAATGTATAACTCCACTTTAATCCTGTTACGACGGAGTACTAGTAATACTAGCCAAATGTGTGCAATAGAGTGCAAACACGAAAAGCGTGAAACGGTACTAACCAAAAAGGGTATTGGATTATTTATATTGTAGATTTAATTAAAACAAAAGAATTTGAAAAATGCTGTGCAATTTAACACCATTTAGTTGCTAATGAAAGTTCTTTATGGTTTTGTGGTACCACCCTAAATAACACTATAAAATCTGATTTTGCTAAAATGGTGGTAATTCTATTATTCTTTTGTTTAATTAGCACTAGTTACAAGTATTGCACACACCATGGATTAGTGATCTAGTACATGCGCCCAACAGAGTAAATTTAATCAATCKGATAAATTCATGATTGATTTATTGATTTAGTAGCTATGAATTYATTTGCTTGATCAACAGAGATCATTCAAGTGCAATGCCTTCCATATAACTCCATTTTTTCAGTACTGCTGGCCTTAATTTATTGTTCTCAGTGCTTACATCTATTGTGAATGATGATACATTCTTACCTATTCTTTATATGTTCACGTATATCTGTGACTCCAGGCTGCCATGGCACATATTCCGGATTCATTTCATAGTATTTGGATTGTACCTCTTTGAGAAACCCTTCCAAATCRACTCTCTTGGCCTCTGGCGAAAACTCACATTGTGGGTTTACTTTCTTTTGCGATTCGCTTTTCAATGATGGGCATTGCTTGGTGCCYGGACCCATAAGGACTGCTCCAACAATGATACAAACGAGACCCACCACGCAGAGCAAGCATCCTACAACCAGGGCAGGTCGCAACCACCTCGGCGGAGAAGACTCAAAAAGAACAGAGGTGCTTGCTGAAGAAGGGTTTTCATTGGAAKCMAAATCAACGCCTTTAGATTCATTGTACGCTACTTTCTCCATGTTGATGTGGTTGGTTCCGCCATGCAAACTGTCGTCGACGACTGCACCAATCAATAGTTCACCGGCTCGACGTCAATGAAGGTTGGAATGTCAACTTGACGCGCCATGCATTATTAGTCGGTATATGCATAGCGGTGCATCTGAAGGCAGTGCAGCAGTCACGACTTTTTAACTTTTTGCCAGATCTATCTTACCATCTATCACGTCCCATTCGTGTACCACAGAAACTTAAACGCCACAACAGTATTTTATTTTTAAGTCACGTGTGCAATTACCGTACTTGCAGAGGATTTTTTCCCATCCCATTCTGGAGGGTGRTGGAAAAATTCCTCTGCTCGCAGGGTAGAGTACAATCAACATTAAACAGCAATAAAATAAGCCTAATTATACCGATATATGTTCTTAATTGAATAAGTTACTTGGGGTTTTATACTTCCAAAACGTGATTCGTATACACACGTGACCAAATGTGTTAACCAGTGTTAACTCGTTGGCAAAATGTACCTTCGTTTCGGAAGTAGACTCCTATGAACAAAATAAACAGACATAACGTACTGAGCTAGGGGTCAGAGTCGTCGCGTGTTCATGMTAAAAGCCGTTAGGAGACTGCGGAACAGTCAAAGGAAGGCTAAGGGGTTCCTAGCACATCCAAGGGGGAATGGGTCATATAAATAATGGCGCCTTAATATGAAAAACTTCAGAGTTCGGCCAAAAGGTTAAGTTTGAATATTTTTCTTTGCCAAAGTCTCTACTTCTACAATTGAAGCATAGTTAATAGAGAGGAACTCTATTCCCTGGAGGTAGGGGGGGGTCCTCGTCGTCCCTTCAAGGGTTTGATATCAGTGATTTGGTCCCGCTTAGGGTGATAGTGACGAGAATTCCCACCAACTGAGTTTTGTGGTCCCTTGAAGGGTATACGACGACCCTAAGCCGTCATTATAAAATCAACAACAACCACAAATGCTAATTAGGTGATTGACCTCAATACGAGCCGACGGCGTTTGATGCTCGTGCAAAAAAACAAACAAATAAAACCTGGAAACCAAAACAAAATGACCTGTTATTGATTGGTCCCTCTTAGCACTGCCACTCCCATCATCTCACAATACAGGTATTTTTTAGGGGTTATTTTCAGAATTTCCGACGAGGACCCCCGCCCTTTTTTATTATTAGGGAGTCTTCCCGGGCCTCTATTAACTATGGTTGAAGATATCCCTTGAAATATTTCGTGATTTGTGCTACAATTWACCACAAACGAATAGGACMGATTCAGCGGATCATTTAAAAGCCACAAGAAGACTTGTTTACATCATAGTGAGCTTCATTCTTTAGTTTTTATACTCTCCTTAAGTCCACACAGTATCATAATTTTTATAACCTGAAAGACCTGCGATTATTATGAGTTATTAATGCACCCATAGAATTTATCTTTTGATCTCAAGTCCCCGCAAGTCAAACTAGTGTGTACTTGAATTCTCCTTTGCACATGCAGTGCTAAATATCATGGCGTCGGAACGAAAGATAACAGACAATCGTGATGGAATTGAATTTCACAACGTTTATTTTACTATATATTTGCACTTKCAAAAAGGTATACGAGGATAATATGATTAAATGAATTATTTGAGTTAAGTTAAACTAACACTAGTAGCTCCATATACACGCCCCTTAAGATGACGTCACAACAATATCGCTAGATCATGCACACTTTGGCTTCGCGCCCTTTTCTACTGTTACTGTTTTTTCACCTAACGCTAGCTTACGCTGAACTCGACTTTATACTTGCTAAATATTCGTAAGTAATATGTTTGAAAATTTTCGCTTTTTTGTCTTTCAGTCATTTGCAAAAATTCTGAACGTCAACAAATATAATTATATTGATTGCATTATGGGTAATGTTAAGTGATTTTCACTCTGTRCAATGAAATAGTGCTAAACCCCACTGACTTCTGCCGAATTCTTTTATCTAATCTACAATGTATTGCGCTACTAAGCACTATTTGGTTAATACTTTTCCATGATTTTAGTATTTTCACTTTATGACCTTTATCAGTCAGGGTACATTTAACTTTATGAAAACTAGAAAACTAATTAATGTTCTAAAAATGTTCGATCAACAATCCAGCCTTGATGTTCGATTACGCCGTGATGGTTACATCGTCTCCAATTAGAAAGAAGGCCGCCCAGTATTTTGGTCCCTTGTATTCCTCTATTTCTCTCATCTCCTTCATTGCCTGCTGCAGACTCTTACTGGCACTCTCTCCATTCTTGAGATGCGAATAGAATTTCAGCATAAAGARCCTTGTTGCTGTGTCATCAATGGCCCAAAGTGATGCTACAACAGCACGAGCTCCTGCAGCAAGAAAGGCTCGGGCCATCCCAACCACTCCCTCAGACCTGATGTCACCTTTACCGCTGTGACAGCAGCTCAGAACAACCAGTTGAGCACGAATTCCGCTCTCCTGTGCTTCCTTTATGGTCAAGATGCTGTCCTTTTTCGCCTCTTTTGGACACGAATCCGTCAGAGGATTAGAAGGAGAAAGTAAGATCTGGCCATTTTTGTCTCTGCCGTGTGCAGCAAAGTGGATCACGGACACGCCTTGCTTAAGTTTCTCCAAAATTACTTCTTTTGTTGCTTGTTTTCCTATCAATGGTTGAACACCGAGGAGGTYRYCAATYTCGACAGCTTCYTTCTCTGCACCAGGTAAATCACCTGTAGGGTTTCCAATGATCAGTGCCCCTGACTTGAATGAATAAAACTTAAATCAACGTCAATTATTATATATTTTTTTCCGGTCTAGTATAGGAATTTCGYGATTGCGATGGAAAAGAAAAAGAATTCCAGAAGACGTTATTTGGGAGACYGTTACCGGAGCACAGCTTTTTTCCCCGCCTTTGAGGTAAATTTTGTWAAATGAAATAAAGATAAATAAACATCATCGGTACTATGGTACGAACATTCTTTAGTTCTTGCATACCTTGTCTTTAGGAACCATTTCTTAATGATAAAAGATTTGAGTATTATAATTACTAGCGATTCCTGCGACTTCAGAACTAGTCTCATTCGTGTTCATTTATTGAACATTTATTTCCTACCTTTCCGGGTTCATACCCATTATCAGGGAGAAACTCAAGATAGAAATACAAATTGCAAATTTCAATTACATAATAACACAGTCAACAAAAAATACGCGCTGAGGTAAGGTTCGTTTAACAAAGCGTGCAATAAACTAATGAAACGAAAAAATTCAGTGTGAACACTTTGAAACTGAGTATGCTTTTTTTACTTTTTCCCCCGCTAAACGTTGTATTCATAAACATTATATTTTGTGGGGATTCTTGAAAGACTATCACTAATGAAGTAGATTATGATTGTACATTTTCATGCTTAAACGTGTAAAAAAGCCTACCTTAGCATAATTTTCGTCTGAGGATTCTTGTAGAATTTTCAGCGTCGTCAGAGAAGGAGCCAGGCGAATGCGCTTCGTTTCCGATAAATACTTGCCGGTCACTGGATCWTGAAGARCAGCAAATGGCACCATGAACAGAGGACCGTCRGGGATGATGACCACCTCGTCGTGGGTCAGCTGGTTAATCACTGGAGAAAGAAGTCTACGGGAGAGCACRTCGAGAGGCTCGATATCATCTTCATCGTCCGTGGAAGCGCACCATCTGTCAACCTGTCGAAAAACTGTGAGGGCAGTTTCTCTGAGCTTTGAAGACCTTGTWACRTCTGCAGGCTCCCCGTTTTCATGGTCTAGTAAGTTMATCGATTGGTCATCGCATTTCATTTCTTCTCGAAGGCGCAGCTGGCGAAAACTGTTGTCAACGAGATATTGAAAATATCCCGTCTCCATGTTTGTTTTATCATCTTCAGACAGACTCGACAAAATTGTTGCCAAAGCTTCGATGTTGKCCAWTTCATCATAATAGAAGGTTGATGGACTTTGGGATGATATGATCCAGCAATCATAYGTTACCTTGTTAGCATCAAGATTGTAAAAAAGAATRCAGCCTTCTCTATATGAMGAAATTGTTTTTACATCTGCAGATTCCAGTTCTTTTGATTCTGTTTTCTCAGTTGCGTGGTATTTAAGGAACAAGAGATCTCTCAAAGCRCGTGCTCGCCCACGTTCACACACTAAGAGAGCTTCTTCGATTTGTCTTGTTTTGATGTAGACTTGGCTGAGGATYTTGTAGGTTATGATGAATGTATCGACAATTGAAACCTTGAATTGGTCATTGTCTTTTAAATCATCAAACAATTTATCGTAGCATTGTATGCTCTTCTCTAGGTGTTCTTTTGATTTGCTGAGGTCTTTAATGCTCGATTCTTTCTGATATGCAATACCTGAAATAGAAAGACGATTTTAGTCAGAAGTAGTTTTGATACTATTAAAGGGATAATTCAAACGCGTCTTTGCACAACAATCATCGTTATAGACGTTGTYCGGTGACAAGTCAACACTGGCAACGTCAATAGAATACTGCGGTTATCAAAAATCTCAATTATCATTATTTAGTATAATTTTAGAATAGCGCAGCGCGTACATGACGTCACAGATTTTCGACAT